ACAGTTGATTTATTTGTATTATTCTATCTTAATGTCATTTTCATTCACCTTTTGTCTCTTTTTAACTTAATAAACTTAATGGGTTAAACTAGTATCTTGTTAAAACCAATGAATATCGTGATTCTTCACTTAAAATTTATTTCATCCACATAAACTATATGTTTCACATCATTTATGATTGTTGATGTCATTTAGTTAGTTTTTTCAGTTTAGAAAAACCCAAAAATCATGGATACATAGCTAAAAATATAACCCACTAACAAGTAAAAACAACAACGATAAAATCACATATCCATAACTAAAAATATAACTTACATCTCTGTAATAAACTCAACTCAACCAAACAAACTATAACCAAAGCCGAAAACGACAAATTCAAGAAACATAATTCCAACAATAAGAGAAGTAACAAAAGTAGACATGATCATGATCTACTTAGTTTTAGAAGGCTCAATCTTGACAGTGGTAGCAGCAGCATCGGTCAACGGGTTGAGTTCATTCCAAGCATCGATCCATGTAACCATGGCATCTCCAAGCTTCTCAAAGTAAGGATCAATTGGGCCAAGTTTCTCCTTCACAAGCTTTGAGAGCTCAATGTAGCATTTTTGTGGGGGTTGTGCATTCTTTCGGGAGAACAACAGATTGAAAGAATGGAATAATGTCTTCTTGCCAATAAATGCCTTTGTATTCTTTCTTCAAGTTCACAAATGGATTGCTTGCTTTGCTATGCCAAATGTATGGTAGCCCTGTTTTCACCCCTAGCCCCAAATGGTCACAAATCACCTACAAATTCACCATAATTTTATAAATCAAAAAAAAAAAAAGCCTTTTATTTTCATTTTCTTTTTGGTGTTTTTTGAAAATATGGTACCTTAGCACACCATCCCGCCCACATGTCGTCATATCGACCAATGGGCTGGCCGTCTCCCATGAGCCCAAAATACATAGCAGGCCCAATGAGTTCCCTATGGAACCCAAGGTTCATCCCACACATAGGGAAAAGTGTCTGTTTCGGTATGGTCATCACAGCATCCACATACCTGAAAAAACATGACTTAATCCAATAAGAGATTCTCATTTATTCTCATATTTTGTTTCCATTTCACCAAATAGATGACACTTTATCAATACCTGGTGTTGCGCTCACGAGGCTTGACAAGTTGAGTAGGGGCATCATAGTCAGGGATGTTGAGCCAAAGGCCATGAGAGATGGCAGTGGTGGCGCCTTCTCTTAAGCTGAAGGGGTAACCCCTAACGAAATCTGCACCTTCCCTGTATGGATCATACAATGTGTTGAAGAAGAAGGGTGTTGCAGGTGTTAACAAGTTGTGGATGTGTTGTGCCAATGCATTGATCTCTTGCCCAGTTGGATCTTTAGCAACCTTCAATTTTAAAGTTGAATCAAATTTGTGATTTATGGATATAAGTAACATAACAAGTTACGTCATCGCTAAAGTTGTTCGAATGACAAATGCCATTTCATTAATCGTATAAAGAATTATGGTAGTTTATGAACCAGATCCGTAAATTAGGGTTCTAGGGATCTGACATGTTTGAACTTGGTGCTAATTTACTATTCTTGGTCAATGAATTTTGGGGTTTTGCGGCTTTTGCCTCTTTTGGAGTCAAATGTAGTTTCCTAATTGGACGTAAAAGTCAAAATGATTTGATTTTTGAATCAAATCATCTACTTCAGGTCCCACGGACCGAAAAATGGCAATCGTACGGCTAAGACTAGATCGCATTGTTTAACACGTGTCACAATCTGGTGACAGTCTACGATAACAACCTGGTCTAGAGGGCATTGTATTTTGAATTTTCCCTAGCCATCGGTAACAGTAGACTGGAATTCCGGTGGAGATCTAGATTCTAGAGAAGACTTTTTAAGATTTTGGATTCAATGAGTCAACTCGGTAGATAAAAGGGGAAATTAGAGTTAACTTACGAAGCAGTCGTCGTCAATGGTGAAGATGTATTTCTTCTTGGAGACAAGGAATCCGAAGCATCGACAAGCGGAATCCTTGAAGGAAATGCAACTGGACTTAGGGCCAAGGATCCGATTGATATCGTTACGATTGTAGAGTTCGTAATCGAATCCTTCAGGGACATGGATCTTCTTCGTTGGATCTCCATCTTGGACGATGATCAGATGGTATGGCTGGAAGAAAGGTCTCCACTGCTCGAGGAAATCGAGATTTCTGATGGTGGGTATGACGATATCCAACTCGTCAACCAACGGCGGCTTGACGACGGATGCAGGGACGGACATGGCGGAGATCGGAGGTGGTTGATCAGTGTGAATTTTGGTGATTGAGAAGGGGGTATTTATGAGAAAGCAGGTAGCGTGTGTAAGAGCAAGCCTGTGCCCTGTAGCGACTAGCGAGGAAGAAGTGAATGTGGGTCACATGGGCGATGCTATGTTTAGGAATATTATGGGCAAGAATTTTATGATAAAATACTTCACTTTACCAAAAATACCGACTACGAATTTTAAAATACTTCAACTTTACCAAAAATACCGACTGCATAAATGTACGAAATAGTATTCATATTATTTAGTTAGTAACTTGGAGCTTGTTGCCATTTATACATTATGTTTATGAAAAACTTTTATTTTATGATTATCAGAAACTTAGTTATTTTTCTTACAAGATCTATCATTAAATCTATATTTATTTTTAGAGAATTATTATTTTGACCAACTATTGTAATTTTAGCGGTATACATATACATTTCAAGAATAAAAGGGTGACAGACGGGTGTGGCCGTGTGGGGGTAGCGGATAGGGTGTTATCACAAAGTAGGAGAGGGAAATTAGCGGAAAAATATGTGAGTGGTGATAGAAAAATTGATGACACTAATAAAAGGAACATGTAGATTGATTTTTTGCCAGTGAGAATACAATATAGTCATTTTGTTATGCATTTAAAAATGAACAAGTAAATGATATCTTTTTATCTGGTAAAGTGAAATGAATGGAAAATTGATGATGGCTGTAAAAGATGAAAAAGATTTAATGTGTATAAAAAATTAGCCTAATGGTAAATTATGTACACAAATGTAAGTGTAAGGATGTTTCCTGAAAACAAATATGAGCTTATTGGTGTTTCTTAAACATTTAACAAGCTATAATGCAATAATGGTATTGTTGAGCAATAAATATGAGTTTAATGATAAATGGTTTAGAAAAAACTAAATGTTTACAAAAATGATAGTTTATTAATTTTCCTAAAGTATTATGTCAAATATCAAATCAAGCAATGATTTGTTTCTATTTCTAACAACACTCTCAGTGATAGTGTTAGACAATTATGAAACTTTTTCATAATTTCTTAGATAATGACGAAGATGCTCACCAATCTTATCAAATATGAGTATCTTATTCTTTTTCCTAGTTGATTATCAAACTTCGCTTTATGAAAACTCTGAAAACCTAGAAGGTTCTAGTCTCAATGTTTATTCAGATAAAAATGTTCATACGAAGTCAGTTTTACTATGCATTGTGGTTTATTTAAATGGTCCATTAGTGTAAACTAATTCCAACATATATTTACATTACAAAGTAATGTATTAATCATTTATCTCAATAAACGTGATTTGCATTTACCATAAGACTTACAACCAAATGGTATCCACAATCTAATATAACTAGATAGTTGATAATGTATTTCATGTTTACGTGTTCAAGACAATGAGTCCATAAATACATTTTATCAAAACCTTTAAATGTACTAGAATGTCGAATCAGTATGTATTGCGGATAGTCTGAATGGATCATTAGTCAAAACTAATTCCAACAGATATTCATGCGATCACATAGTGGTTTTATCATCTGTCATGACCAATAGGAGTCGCATTAATCATAAGACTTGTTGTCAACTGAATTCCAAAGTCCTATCCATTAGACTTTTAGCAATGCAATTCTTATTTTTCAAGAATATGATGTTGGATTAAGGTGTCTAAGGTTCTAACTAAATTGGTATAATATTGATGAATAAAAGTAAAGTCCTTTTTGGGTTAACCTTATAACTAGGAAATAAATTGGATTGATCAAAGGAGAGACATAAAATGAATTGTTAATATATTAATTATAAATTATTAATCAATGATTTGTTAATTTATTATATGAATAATAAATTAATTAGAAATAGATGGAATTAGTTAATTATTAATTAGAGTTAATCTGTAATTAATTCGGGATTAATTGAAATTAATTAAAGATGTTAGGGGTGAATTGAAATTATTCAATAGTCGAACAAAAGAGACAATTCTAAAAGAATCCTTGGCATGGATGGTTTTGGGAGCCACTTTAGGGTTTCCAGAAGTGTCACATCACTGACCAGCAGTGGAAATCGTTGGGCAACGCAATGTTAGGATGTTGGATCACAGTCATTGAACATACATTGAACAATACAAAATAATATGTGACATAAATATCCCTTCCATTGTAAAGTATATAAATTACATGGTAAGATGCTTGTGAAAGTACTAAAATTCTAACATAACAAAATATCTTGATACGTAAGCATCTCAGTAGACTTCAAGTAGTTCCATCAATCAACTGTTACTATAGGAAATGAAATCTTCGATTTCCTAGGAATACATGTGGCTTTTGAAAGGTCAACATAATGTTGATGAGTTCACAAGTTTTTGATAATGTAGAAAATACTTTCTTTCGAGTCGGATTTTTGTTTATGAATATAATATTATATCTCACTATTTATCCTTAATCCAATGTGTTCATCCCTTGGAATTGTTTATGATATCTTGTTGTATCCTATGGATATTTGTTTGGATATCTGGAACTCAGTTACAACATTCACTAGGGATGTACCTTCCTAGCATTCTTTAATTGTTTATGAACACGCTTCCCCAACTTTTTTACGGTATTTATAGTTTTATGAATATTATTAGTTTCCTTGACTCGTAACCGTCAGTTTATGTATGTTGTTACTACCCCTTTGAGGCATCCCTTCAACGGTAGTTTTAATTAGCTTAGGATAATGATTGGATAGGGAAATATCCCTCGTTGCCAAAACACCTCACGAGATGTGGATAGGGAAAGCTCCTTCGTTGGCACATATGAAGGTTTGGGGTTGCGAGGATTTCGTAAGACGAGAGACTCACAACAAACTCGAACCTCATAGTGAGCGGTGTATTTTCATCTGCTATCCGCAAAAGTCCTTTGGATATCTATTCTATAGACCAAGTGACAATGTTGTCTTCGTTGCGAGGAGAGGGATTTTCTGAGTGTGAGAAGTCATAAGCCAAGAGAACAGTGGGAGGCAAATTGATCTTGAAGAGCTTCAAGAATCAAGAGATGAAGGAACCTCTAATGCTGGCGCTCAACCAAAGGAGGAAAATCCGGTTGAACCAATTAATGAGTCCCTACCTCTTAGACGTTCCAGTAGAGTTAGTGTTCCACCCGTGTTGTATGGTTTTCATATAAGGAGTGAGGGTGATACGTTTATTAGTGATAATACACTAGTAAATTTGGATAAACCTAACAGCTACAAGGAAGCCATGGCAGGCCCGGAGTCTACGAAGTGGAAAAAGGCTATGGACAGCGAGATTCAGTCCATGTATGACAATGAAGTTTGGAATTTGGTTGACAATGTACCAGGTCGTAAGAATGTCGGGTGCAAATGGATCTTCAAGAAGAAGACCGATATGGATGGGAAAGTAAACATTTATAAAGCGTGATTGGTTGCGAAGGGCTTTACTCAAACTCCTAGAGTTGACTATGATGAGACCTTCTCACCAGTAGCGAAGATAAAGTATATAAGGGTTATGCTAGCCATAGTTGCGTTTCATGATTATGAAATATGGCAGATGGATGTTAAAACCGCTTTCCTTAATGGAAAGTTGGCTGAAGATGTTTACATGACTCAACCAGAGGGTTTTATCGATGCAAAACACTCTAATAAAGTGTGTAAGCTTGAGAAATCCATTTATGGATTGAAATAAGCATCTCGTAGATGGAATCTTTGTTTCGATGAAAAAGTCAAAGAGTTTGGTTTCTCAAGAAGCGAGGATGAGTCGCGTGTGTATGTCAAGTCATGGCATGGGAAGTGTTTCACTATGAAGAACCTCGGAGAAGCTGCCTATATTCTTGGGATAAGGATAGTGAGAAACAGGAGTAAAGATGAGCCGAGTACCTTATGCTTCCGTAGTTGGCTTGATCATGTATGATATGACTTGTACTCGCCTTGATGTGGCCCTCGCCTTGAGCATAGTGAGCAGATATCAAGGGAACCCTGATAGAGCACATTGGACTGCAGTCAAGAATATTCTTAAGTACCTTCAGAGGACTAAGGAATCGTTTCTTATCATCGGTGGGAGTGATGAATTGAGAGTGCGAGGGTATAGTAATGCCAATTTTAAGACCGATCGAGACAACTTTCACTCTCAGTCGGGATGGGTCTTTACCCTCAATGGGGGAGTAGTGACTTGGAAAAGTTCCATGCAGGAGACCGAAGCTGATTCAATGTGCGAATCAGAGTACATAGCATCGAGCAAAGCTTCAAAGAAGGCAATATGGTTGAAGAACTTCATTGGAGACATTGGAGTTTTTCCAGCCATAAAGGAGGCTATGGAGATTTTATGCGATAACGAAGGTGCAGTTGTCTTAAATAAGGAACCGAAGGCAGATCCAGGCATATCGACAAGAAATATCATTTCATTAGACATCGGGTAGAAGAGGGACTCCTCGTAGTAAAGAGGGTATCTTCAGAAGAAAACCCAACAGATCTCCTTATGAAGGGACTAAGTAGGGTTATGCACTTGCAACTTGCTATAAGCATTGGGCTGAAGAACGATATTAGTTTTAGTGATTAGATAGCCATAGAAACTTATAATAGATAAATTGTAATTGCCATTTTGATGATTAAATAAAGGAGTATTATTTATGAGTAATGTTACTATCTTATGTTAATTATTTAATATTGTTTCATTTTGCATGTTTTGACTTCCTAAATAATAAGATTATTTAAACTATCCATAATCGCTCATACTTTGGAAGTAGGTATGAAAGAAGATTGTCATGAATTGGTTTGTAGATTGTCTAAGTGTTTAGACATAGCAAATGTTTGCTGCAATGTTCACGAGTGCTCTTAAAATATGATTTGAGTATTGGATTAAACTAATGCTCACTTGAATCACTTCATGGAATTAATAACAAGTAATTATGAGACGATAATATCATATAGTCTTTAAACCTATATATATGGTTTATTGTTTGCGAGTTGGTTGTGCATTGATAATGCGTAAACGCATCAGTAACTTGATGTTATAATACGGATTGTTGTGTATGATTTGATGAGTAAATAGTAAATGCATATAAGTCGAAGTTTATCCGTTCCTTTTATCCTCATAGGATAAAAGCGATATCTTGGGCCCCTTGATGATTCTTTTTGACTTATGTGTCGGGCCCGGTCTGGACTGAGTTGATGTGTTCAATTAAGTTCTATGTCGGAGAAATCAGAGATCAAGAAATAAACTGCTAGACAATAAGTATGACTATGTTCCATGTGATTGTCCACTG